AAATGAGAATTAAAATAAGGATTTTAGTTTTTTTTTATATATTTTCATTTTTTTTTTCACATTCAAAATCTGAAACTTCGGACACAAACCAAAACACACAACAGAGGTTTACGGTTGATGACAATGTTTGCCTGTATATGATTTATAAATACATGAGTGAATACTCTTTGAATCTTGATATATGTTTATTCCCAAAGAATTTCTTATTCAATTCATGTAAACATTTTTTATAAGAGAACAAAGTTGATGCAGTGGCATATGATTTTGATCTAAAGCTGTTCTGATAAATAAGATACTTTATGAAGTTGTTCGTTACTTCCTGGAATGAATATTTGCCTTGTGATTAGAAAGTTTTCCTAGTTAAGGAATTTATCACAAACACAAATGTGATTAGAATGAACTTTATTCTTAGAAATGACTTTCAAATTTTAAAACGAATTTAATTTGGAAACACATGTAAAAGTTTTAATCATAGTATAATAATAACTTGGTTGTACAAATGAAAATTATAAATTTTAAAATAATTATTAAAAAGATGTTGTGTATTTTAAAATTGAAAGGGATGCAAACAAAAAAAGGGTGATCAGGAAGGTTAATACAATTTTCCCTTTAATATTTTGTTTGGATTAATATTGTTAAAATAAATAAAAAAATAAGAAACTAAAACAAATAGATTGAAAAATGTGTATCTTTATGTGAATGAAACAAAAAGAAAGAATTACAAGACAATGAAGTAAATAAATTATATAAAACATATTTTATATAAATTGAAAATTAGCTTTTACTCTATTTTTTAACAAAACACACGCGCACGCATTAAACAAATAGATTACAAAAAAAATTATAGCAATACCTCGTGTACATGCTTATCCAAATTCATTGCTAAAATATAAGAAAAATATAATATAGAGAGACTTATAGTTTATTTCTTTCTACAATTTCTCCCCAAATACTCAATGTCTTTACTAAAATCTTTCTTCTTAAATCTATATGTCCAAAATTTCCTATAATAAATTCAGTTTAAAAGTCATACTTAAATGTCAGTATATTAATTATTTAATAAAATCATTTTTGTAATTAGTTTATATGATTAGTTATTACTTATTAGAAGAGAAGTTGTAATTTACCTTTTGTAACGTGATGTTATGTCATGTTGTTATGAACTTTAGTGTGTGAATTATTCAGGAATAACATTTAATGAAATGTATTTGTAAATATAATTTTTAACATGTTTTATGATTGATTTAAGAAGGAAACTTTAATATTAACTTAATTTCATGAATTGGATTGAAAGATGAAGTTTGTAATTATCTGTATATTATAAATTAGTTTTATCAATATAAACTTGTTTTATCTTTAGTTGATATGAGATTTTTAACACACTTTCTCAATTAAGATATATACATCACGTGTGTGTGAGACTAAACATTAATGGATGGTTTGATATCGTTTTGATAGTGTTTGGAATAATAGACAAAATAAACAACAAATTTTATTACGATATGTTCTAAGTATGACTTTGATATATATTAAAAATTAAATTTTAAACCTAACTTAACTCCACGTTTTACATTTCACGTTTTACATTTTGTGCATGAAACTAGACATTAATGGGTGGTCTAACAACCCGCCTGATAGCAGATGGAATAATAAACCCAACAAATAATAATGTTTGTTAAGATATGCTCTAACTCATGACTTTTATATTATGTTAGAAAGTGAATTTTTAAGTTTAACTCAACCTCATATATATGCATCTTATGCATGGGACCAGATATTAATGGAGGATTTGATAGTGGTGTGATAACAAGTAGAATAATAAACCCAACAAACAACCAATTTCGCTGCTCTAACTCATGACTCTTACACATGTTAAGAAATGAACTTTAAACATAACTCAATCCTACAAAATATTGTAAAATAAGGTTTACATCTTATATACTATAGACTAATCTTATTTGTATTCGATGTGAAGATATATTTGATTTTTCTGAAGATCTAAAAATATTTGAAAATATATTTGCTAGATTAAAAAAGAATTGACAAAAATTATCTTTTGATATTTATTGACATAGTTAAATAAGATAATTATTTAACAATATCAAATAAAATATCTTAAGATATATTTTCTCCAAATTGTTTTTAATCATAAATATTTATCAATTATCAAAGCCCTTTTAGTATAAAAAACAAAGAAAACCACAAAATCCAATTTTTGTTGCATGTTCCCTCTTCTTGGTGTAGTCAAATTTCTTCATTTTTTCATGCTATGCTTGGGTTGATTTCTTGTGGTCTTGATTAATTGATATTATTGGATTTATCTTTAAAGTGTCATGAAGCTTTAACCAATTTATTTCCATACCTCAATAAGCTCAACTTAGCTACAGTTGCCCTGACACACCTTAAAATATCCAAAAAAACATTTATGCGACTAAAAAACTATTTTTAACATGTTTTTTTTATCTCATGATAAATAAACTCAATTATAACAAAAATTAATTAAAATACTCTATTAAAGTATAAAAACCAATTAAGAATCCAATATTAAAGACTAGATGAGTCCATAAATATGCACTCATCAATGACATAATAAATATGAATTGTTGTCATATTTTGTTGGGATAGCCTTAGTTATTTGACAAAGAATCCATACATAATGGTCATACCAATGAAATAATAATCACTCACAATAAAATGAAGTTTATACTTCATCCTTTCACACCTTTTCAAGTGGAAGATGATCAAGTGCAAATGAGAAATAAAATAGAAAAAAAGAAAGATAAAAAGAAAAAAAAAGACACTTCTAACAATCAAAAGAAAAAGATAAAAAAGAAAAATAAGACACTTTTAACAATCAATGTTCTAAGTGTCAAAGAAAACTACACAAGTCTAAAGAGTGCCCAAACAAAAGAGTCATTATGTTAAGAAGGAATATGTAGAGAAACACAAGAGGTCTTCTTACCATCTTCCTTAAGAAGAATGAAAAGACAAGACCAAATAAAACCTTTTTTTGAAAAGGGAAGTCATTCTAAAAGCACACACGTTCAACATAAGGCAAACAAGAGGTTAAAAGAAAATACTCTAAAAAACTAAGACCTTGATCATTCATTTGATCAAAGGTGTATAATCCCTGGGAGCTACATACTTTATATACTTATTTTACCTAAAAGGAAATGATGTTTCCATAAGACAACTTGAAAATTTGAGGGAAAATCCTTTTCAAAACGGGTGGGATGATGGCATGCTCCCTAGCCATGGCCAAACAGTTTCAAGAATGGATGAAGTAATTTGTGGAAGATGAGCCTATACTCTTTCTCTTAGGCCATCTTCGGCTATCATGGAGCTTATAGTAGAGTAGGAATAATTTGGACCAAGTAGTGTAGGATTTATTTTGGGTATTGTATTTTGGACCACTTGGGTCAATAAAGGTCAAGACCCAATGTTGACCCAAAGTGGGTGTCCATAGTGTGTGTTGAACATGTGGTCAAAGTTTTTAACTTGACTTGGTGGACAAGGGGAGTGGGTCATCCACCCATGTTAGTATGACCATGTGTCATGCTCACATTAGAGAGAATTTCTCATAGTTAGTGGCCACATGTAACTTTAAAAATGGAGAGGATTTTTCATAAGTAGTGGTTACATGACCTCTTCTTATTGGAGAGGAATTTTACCTTGGTCTCTAAGTTAGGTCATCAAGCTTGTGTTTTTAGGGTTTTGCTTCTACAAATTGGAGACACCTTAAGCCTACAAAAAGAGGTGTCTTCACCCTTGTATTCTCACTTTGAGATTAGTAATGAACTAATACCAAATTGTTGAACCATTTTGTTAGTCTCTAAAGTCAAGGCTAAAGCATCCCATATAGTCTCCTCTAGCCACCTTCCTCTAAGAGTTGTCCTAACCTTTCTAAGAACACCATTCAAACACCATCCTTCACCCATAAAACATCGTAGGCCGTGACCCTTACCCCTAATCCTTTATAGCTTTTGCACCCTTTTACCTTCATCATTACCATAACATCTCTCCATGTTTTGATCCAACATAGCTTAAGGAGGTTGCTGTCATTTGGTACCAAGAGCTTTAGTTTTACAAGAGTTAAGTCTTTTGGTCTTAACTATCTTATTGCTTTTATATGTTTTTTTTGTGTTGTTCTTTATTGTCTCATTTTCAAGTTCAAACTATGTTGTTTTCATGGTTCTAATCTTGTTTTTCTTGAAACCATTTGATATTTTGGTTTAAGTTTCTTGTGTGTTTGACCTTTACCATATGAATGTTTCTCTAAAAAGGTAGAAAAACTATTTAGGCTGCATGCATGATATGAAACAAAGTGCTCAAAAGAAAAAAAGCGTGCGTGAGACTTACAAAATAAAATTGATTTGTCGATTTTGTTGAATTTTTTTGACGACACTCACTCATATAACTTTAGATAACTTTAGATATTAAATAAGATGAAGAATGAAGTCAATTTTATGATAAGAAAGAAAAGAGAGAACGTAAGATGAGGTGATTTTAAGAAATATTTTTTTGTTATGAAATGTTACAGAAGGATTAATTTAAAATAATTAAAAATTAATTTTAAATTATAAATTTTAAAATGTTCTTTCATATTTATAAAGTAAACTTTTTGTGAACATTTTTACAAGAAAAATATTCTTTGACACATTTAAATTTTTTACATTCATTTTACACTATACTTATTTATTTTTTACTCTCTTATTTTTTGAAAAAATACAAAACTTTACACTTTTAGAACTATTTTATTCTTATATTTTGTGTCTGTAAAGTGTCTCATGATACCATTTCTCTTGCATAATACAAAATCCTTTTACTATATTTAAAAGAAGTTTTTTATTTTTGAAAAATAAGGATTATAAAAATTTGTTTTCGTGATTATATTGAAATATGTGCTAAGAAACAATTGCAGAACAATTTTTTTTTATTGTATAAAAATAGTATAAAGTACATTTTCTTAAAAATAATGTTTAAAACTCTCTCTGCCCCCTCTTCTCTTTTACATTACTAACAACTAGAACCTTCCAATTGCTCAAAACATTAGGGTTTTTGGAAGGGGTTTTAGGGATATTATTGCTCGCATTCAGAAACCCCCAATTCTCCTTCCAAAGATTCAACATTTCTCATCGAAGTGCTCCCAAATGCTTCGCTCCAATGGCGTTAGGCTCCTCCGATCGCTGCCCGCTAAATTCATCCGTCACGCCGACGCCGAACCTGTACTGAACAACCCTTCATCTCTCTCGCCCCTTGATTTGCCATTCATTATCCAACTTCGAATTTTGATACGTTTTCTCTGCCTACTTTGATGCAATTTTGTTATGTTTGGTTGATTTATTTTGGATAAATCTCAGGTATATGAAGGAGTGTGCCAAAGGGGTTTTAGGACATTGAGTTTGGGACGTTGTAATTTATCCTGAGTTATTGGGAACTTATTTCCAAAAGGTATGTGTTGAAGATAATAATACAATTTTCAATTTTTGCTTTAAATTTTTAATTTTGTTGTGTGCGATTATACAAAGGAATAAGACTCTGATTGAGTCAATTATTTTTGGATTAGTTTGACAATTGTTGGTCCTAATATTGTTTTCATTATGTTGTATTGAACATCTTATTAAAAAAGTGAACTCTATGATATTCTGTGTTCTTTTGCTGATCCTTTTCTTACCTGTCTAATTGCAGTTGGAAATGGTTTTACTTTGAAGAACTGATTGTTGTATGGAGCAGCTAATACATATTGGGGGACATCCAGGTCCATTCATGGGTCGGGTATAAGATGTTGGATTAGCTTTGTGTGCTTGCCTTACTTTTCATTCTTGCTGATGTCACACCGAAATGCATTGGGAAATCTTGTTTGGTTATTCATGGCTTGTATTTTGTCTTTTTCTCTGGTGATGATGTCTAATTTGCCTGAAGTTAATGCTACTTTTGTTTAATTAGCTCTGCAATTTCTGTTTTGATCATTCCCCTTGATGGATATATTTGTTTACTGTCCCTTGAATTTGAATGATTGATTTTTTTTCTCCTCAATTTCTTTTCAGCATCATTGGCTAGAGACTATTATGAAGTGCTTGGTGTGAGTAAGAATGCAAGTTCTTCTGAAATAAAGAAAGCATACTATGGGGTAGGTTTTACTTGACTAGTTTGATATAAATGTATTTTTGTATCAACGAACATTTTTGAAGTTTTAGGTGAACATTTGGATTATTTCCTGGTGAAAAATTCTGATTTCTTACTTATACCTTTCCTGGTTCAAAGGGGTCATCACTTGTTACATTCTCTTCTAATTCCAAGTCTTGCCCAAAATGTTTTGCAAACTGTTTGCTTTTCTTATAGTATGTATTGCTTTCATTTCCCAAGTGGGCGAGATTAAAATAGTTGTTTGGATTGTGTGGGAAGAGTTTGTTTTCTATCATATTGCTGTTACGTATGCCAACCACTCATTTATGTTATATAATACTGAAATACGTTTTTGCTCCTTTTGCTGTTTAATTTTTATACTTGGTTGTTGGCACCCGTTTTATGATTTTCTTATTCGTAATATATTCCACTGTAAGATTTTAGTACCTACAGTAGTTGTATGCTTGTGAAAATATTTCATGTAGTTCCCTTTATTTTTCCTTTATTCTCTTCACATAAGTTCTTCAAATGCACTCGATGAGCATGAGTTATTTGTCTGAAATAATTCTATTTCTTCCTTTTTTTCACTTTTTATTTTCTTCATGTTCTGCAGCTTGCAAAGAAGCTCCATCCAGACACAAACAAAGATGATCCTGAAGCTGAAAAGAAGTTTCAAGAAGTTTCAATCGCATATGAGGTGTACTGTTGTTGTGCTTGTTATTTACGTAGAGCTCCACTGTAAATTGTTATGTGATGAGTAAACTGGATTATGATTTATTGACTCCTCCCCCTTTGAATAACTGCATTGTAGGTTTTGAAGGATGAGGAAAAGCGTCAACAGTATGATCAGGTCTTGTGCCTTTCCAGATATATTTTTGTTACCTTTGCCAAAAATTTTTTGTTACTCTATTGGTGTAAATTTATAGGGCAGGTTACTGATTTTATTCACAAGAGACCTACATTATACATCATAAGAGCATAACAAGGGAATAATGGCTGGGCTCAGGAGATCTCTGTTTTATGGAGTTGAAGGATAGAGATATTTGAGGGTGAAAGTTGAACAAAAGGATTGGGCGGTTACAATTAGCACCTTCTTTTAGATATTTGTAAAAATCGTCTTATTGCTATAATTGATTATATGTATAGTCAATTATTCTTATAATAGATTATAATCAAAAATTAGTTTTAAGATAATAAATTTTGTTTGTTATTGGAAAATAACAAACAAAAGTATAAAGCTGAAAGGGAAAAAACGCTATTGGAAAATAATTATAAGCTACAAATTTCAAGAGTCATAGTCAATTTAATTTTCGGAGAAAAAAAAACCTTTTTACCAAGTTCAAAGATACACAGCTGAAATTGCAAACAACTTTTTAACCCCCACAGGTGTCTGAAATCTCAAAACTAATCTTTTCCATACATGCTCTTGTTTTGTCTTATTTATTAATTATCCCAGTGATTTGATTTGATTTAATATGGATATGTAGATTGGCCATAATGCGTATGTAAATCAACAAAGCTCTGGTTTTGGAGGTGAAAGCGGCTTTAATCCATTTGAGCAGATATTCCGAGATCATGTAATGACTTGCTGCTTTCTATATTCTTGCTATTGGTCATGTCTCATTGTGTACGTTCATCCTATATAATTTTTTGGTAGTTTTGTCTTTATTGCTGTTTATATTTTATTAGGAATTTTGCTTAGTAGAAATAACTATGTAGTTCTAATTTTAAATGTGATGTTATAGCGGAAGCATCTGATGTTATTATTGTTGTTGTTCTGTTCTGTTCAGACACTAATCATGCAACTGCATCAGTTTCTAGTTCAGATTAGTGGTGGAATAATCTGTTTAGTTTTTAATAGTTTACAAATATACAGCTTCAATAATCATACATACAAGCAATCAAGCATCTTAATTTGCATATGGTATGTTTGTTTGTGCCTCTGTTCTGCTTAAATAAAATTGTAGTAGAAAATAATGATTCAATAAATTATTGCATCATAATAAATAACAATTGTCTAAGAAATTTGCTTGAATTACATGTCTCACATTTTAAGACTACTGTGCTTTTTAATCCTCTAAGCATTTCCCTCAAATGGTGATCAGGATTTTGTCAAGAGCTTTTTTCATCAGAATATTGGTGGTGAAGATGTCAAGGTTCTTTCTCTCTTCATATCTTCTGGACATTTTTAACCATTCTAGCACTTGTTTGTGGAAAATGCAACTTGCTCTATTATTTTTCAGACTTTTATTGAACTATCTTTTATGGAAGCCGTTCGAGGATGCACCAAAAATGTTACATTTCAAACAGAAGTGCTATGTAACACTTGTGGTATGCTCATGACTTAAAGATCATTTACATGCTTAGTTGTTAACTGTCACTAGTATATGTAATTTATTTTGCAAGGCATGTGTGCACTGGAAGGTGACAAGTTTTTTCTCTTTGTTGACTGTTCAGGTGGGAGTGGTGTTCCTCCTGGGACAAGACCTGAAACTTGTAAGCGCTGTAAAGGGTCAGGAGTGGTCAGTATTGTCTTAAATATAACTTTCTTTAGTAATGCATTATTATTGTTATTATTATCATGATAATGATGTTAACCTAATGACTTTTGTCATATGTCCAGACATATGTACAAACTGGCATATTTAGGATGGAGAGTACTTGCGGTACATGTAAGGGAACTGGAAAAATTGTATCGGTATGATGCAAATATTTTTAACTTTTTTTCATATTAGTTCTCTTATTCTGTAAATTTGGATACGGTGGATTAGGCTGTGATACATGTAACTTGCCATGTTGCTTATTATTGTTGCCTTTTTATTTCTTATTTAGCGGCAATACATATAAATAAATTATACAATGAATAGTGTAGATTCATCATGTTCATGTATTTGTACTTATTTTTCATTCCAATAGCTAGTAATTTTGTTCTTTTCTTTGTTGGTGTCAGAATTTCTGTAAGTCATGCAAAGGGGCAAAGCTTACCAAAGGAACAAAATCAGTCAAATTGGATATTATGGCTGGTAACAACTTAAAATTTTACAGTGCATTATTTTGGGTGAATCATATTCATATTACAAGTTGCAAAGCAAAAGTCAAATGAATGAGTAGTTTTTATAGATTTCCCTTATATTGCTTTTTGGAATAAAATTTGTTTGGTAGAAGCTAGGAAGAGATCAATTGCTAATTCTGAGTTTTGCCATTATGTATTAGTATTAATCTGACAACGAATACAACCAGAAAGAAGCTACCGTATTTTACAATAGTAAAGTTAATGCTTTTGATCACTGACCTTTTAATAATTTAGAGCAATGTTGGATGTTGACTATCTTTCTACTGACTAATTTGATTTTATTAATTGTGGGAGCTAAAAGGAAAAAAATTGGGTTGAGCGATTGACATGCTCTTACATATGCAGGGATTGACAATAATGAAACTATAAAGGTTTACAGGAGTGGTGGTGCAGATCCTGATGGAGATAACCCTGGTGATCTTTATGTTACTATTAAGGTGACTGTTTAATCTATTCATTGCTTGGTAATCATTTCCATTTTTCTCTTATATCTTCTCACAAGCCCAATTATTTATTTATCATTTTCCTTTGAGCAGGTCAGGGAAGATCCCGTCTTCCGTAGAGAAGGGTCTGATATTCATGTAGATGCTGTGTTAAGTATCACTCAGGTAATGTTTCTCTATTAAACAGTTTGAGGCTTATTTCTAGTTGATTTTTTTCGGCTTTCTATTTATGTATGACTGTATTTGTTCGTAGTATCAGTTTATAATTCTGGGGAAGCAAATTGGTGTCATGGCCTAGATAGAGAAAATGTTTTGACCAAGTTGGACATATTTTTTGTATATTTGTTGTCAATCTGGGATCAGTGAAATGCTCCACCTGTTCTTAACACTATATGGAGTTGTGACATCTTCATTGGGGTTGGGAGGGGAGAGGGATAATCTTTACTTTTCATTTTACCAAAGTAGGCCTTTTTTGTGTAAATCACCTTCCCCTAGCATTACGACTGGCATGTTTGACACATATTACAGTTGCCTCTGGACTCCAATCAGTCTGAAGCAACTAAAAGTTACTTCTGTGTGGTTTACTTATTTCTTATGCAGATTTGAAGAATAATGTGAATTAGAAACGGAGATGCAAACATGCCATACAGCAATTAAATTATGTATAGATGTGTATTTTTCATAATAACAATTTATATTATCGGGGCTGTCTACATTTTGTTTACCATTCTAGTATATTCCATGGTGGCTGGCACATATATGAATTAAATAGTCATGGTGTAGGAAAAAAAACACGCCAATGGAATCACCCACATAGTAATTGATTTGATTCAAACACTTCTTGGTTACATTCATAGGATTGTCTCAATCATTTCTCCATCTCAAATATGATTGCAAGAATTTTAACCAATTCCATATTGTCACTACACATGTCTTAATAATACCCTTTATCAAGAGTTCTAAGAAATGATATCACTCAGCACAGTGGACTCTCACACAAATGGTCACACGCTTGCATCTGCCCTCTTTGCTTACTTTGGTTGGGATGTTTCATCTTCTTTTCTTGATCTCTTTTATTGTAAAGGAAAAAAAATTAACGATTCCATTCATTAATGAGACTCAATGAACATCCATTATCTTATCCCACAGCCACCCAACAACTGTGACCACTATCTCTGGCGACCACCCAACAACTGTGACCACTATCTCTGGCAACCACCCAATGACTTCTCTGACTGTCTACTACTTCCACCTCGGATTATTCCAACCAACAGACCAACAAATCATCATGCCTGTCTTTAAAAGGATGTTTTATTATCATTTTATTGTTATTTGAAGTAAAATACTTGATGTTATTTCATTATTTTTTAATTTTTATCATGTATTTATTTTTATTTTTGTTGCTATCCATTGGCAATTTGCTAGAATGCTTTTGTTGGCTGACTGCCATAGTCTGCCATCTACTATCAATAACCCTGGCTAATCCATTTCTGCACATACCCTCTCATTTTGGTGGAGTCCAAGAATGAAAATACTTTCCTCCTACTACATTTATTTGGTAAACTGGATTTTCTTTCCAACACTTTTTCTTTCAATTAAAATTTCATAATAACACCTCTTTGCAAAATTTTGCCTTCTCGACTTTGTTGTGACTATGGCCTTCCCTTCCAAGTTCCTCACTTTTTTGTCCTCCCAAAGCCAAGTGCCTACCTTGTACGCCTTTCATTCCCACTTTGTACCAGCATACCCTTGCGGTGCCATCTTCTCCAATGAAATGATATTGACAGCAACAAAAGATACAAACCATTTTCTCCCTCCATATTTCCTAATGTGAAATGGTCAAACTCTTAGCTAGTTTTCAAGTTGTTAAACATTGCATGGTCTCTACAGATGTGCTTTGAAGTGGCAAAATCCATCAGTTATTTTGATTTAGCAACCTCCTCGCATTTGCCAATTTACATATCTTCATCATAGTCTTTTACCATGTTAGCCTCGAGTTGTCATTATTTTTATAGATAACTTAGTTTTTTCAGTTCCTCCCTCATTTGTTGCATTGTTCTTTCAAATGCTTCTCCCTACAACAATAATGTTGCATGTTGCTCATATCTTGTTACTAATGTGGTTACAATTTTGTTCTTCCTTTGAATCCATCATGTCTCCTTGATTGACTCCTTTTTTACTTGGTCTTGTCCATGGCTAATGCTTAACCTTCAGTATCAATATTTTTGTTTCTCATCATTCCCTAGTTCTTTGGAGCGCAAGTCACTTCATCCAAGTTCTACATTGTGTTCCCTAATAACAATGTTTCAATCAAAGATTTGTATGGCCTTAATAGTTTGGCCAACGACAACAATGCCACTTCTCATTAGAGATTTACATATGTATTGAATAAAGTGAAACTAAGTATGAGATTAATAATAATGTGGGCTAAGCCCAAATACAAATGAATATGTAAAAATAATAGAATTAACATAGAGATTATGTTTCCTTAATTAACATAAAACGGAATATATCTAACATTCCCCCTTAAGCTAAAGGGGGACCCAAGGACATAAAGAACATTATCAATGGTTAAAGATGAAAAAAGATTAACAATACTAACACCATGAGATAAGACCCTAGACTCATCAACGATTGTAATCGTAGGTAAATTATTCGAAGAGGATAATGAAGAAAACAAATATTTGTTATCAATAATATGATCTGTGGCACCTAAGTCAAGAACTCAAGGTTCAAGAGAAGAAGGTTGAGTTAGGCCAACAAAAGATATACCTGTGCATGCAACATTAGTAGTGGAACTAGAGTTTTGGCAATCCTATACCATTTGAGAAATTCATTGAAAAGAGCAAATTTGCCAGTGCTACCAAAAGAGGTAGCAGAAAAAGCCATGGAGAGAAAAACCCTATAAAACCAAGGTTTTCCAATCAAGGCAACAAGCACGGGTCCTGAAAGAGGAAAGGAGGCAATTTTAGAGTAGTTAATTGCTGTCTAGACGATACAATCCTATCCAGGAAAGAGTACACTTATTTTTGAATTTAATTCCTCCCTTAGCATAAACAAAGAAAATCAAAGAAGAACGCATAAAAAGAGAGATGAAGATGTCACAATCTAGCAGATTGATGAGTCAATAAAGATTCACCACAAAAGTCTCAATGTTTGATAAGAACCAATCTTCTATGACAAGAACCAAGAGAATCCTCTCTCAATGAATTCAAAACTCAAATATTGACTATAAAAAACTTTAGGCTCTAGATACCATATTGAATATAGTAAAAGTAGGTATAAGTTTAATCTCCCTTATGTAGAAAATACACATTGGGTAATGTATTTATAATAATGAGAATGTGGGCTAAGTGCAAATACAAATGAAATATGTAAAAACAACATAATTAACATAGGGACTATGTTTTCCTAATTAACATAAAACACAATATATCTGACAATATGCATTTAACAATTGTCCCAAGGGATTGAATTTATTAGTGTAGTAATGGGGATTTCCTCTCATCTCCATTTTGTTTGATACAAGCTTGGATGCATAGTTGTTCTTGAGTTTCTCCCACATAAGGCCTTCGATGCTGTGTCCTTCATCACATACTTGATCACAAGAGCTAATCAAATTATGCTCAACTTTGTTTTGGATATTTTTCCATACCTTTTCATTAATTTTAGTCAACTTTTTCATCTTCTAAAGTCAGATTAAGAAATTGCTGCATTATAAGCTCTTGAATGGTAATACCAAAAATAAGGTTTACATTTTAATCAAATATCAAACATCTCAAACTTGTGTTACCCACCATCACTATGATACAACTGTTGGGGAAAAAACACCAATGGAATCATGCACATGCCCAATGATAAGATGGAACAGACCACAATTCACGGGATTCAGCACCCTCTTGCCTACGTCCGTGAAACCATCCCATAAGAGATTTAGTGTCTCAGACTATTACAGTTTTAACCACCCCAATTGTGTAACACTGTACAAACTTTGTACCCCCATTAAAGAGCTCTAAGAATTATATTACTCATTACAAGAGGCTCATTCACACACTTTTCTTCTCTTGCTTTGGCTTGGATGCTTCATCTTCTTCACTTGAACTTGTTTCATTAGTCTATTCATGAATGAGACTCTTAATAAATGAATTTTAAGCCTAATTCAACCTTACATAACATGTATACTATATTCTAACCTTTTCTCCACTTGATGTGGGCTCTTCTACACACCTTACACCAAAGATTGGACATCTCAAGTGTTGGACTGGAGGGTAATCCAATAATGGGTGTCGTGAGGCCCAACAGCTTGCTAGGATAGGCTTATTGATACCATCTTAAGAAAGTAGAATTTAAACCTAAATCAATCCTCCTACAAAACTTGCTTGGAAAGGCACTCCACTTATACATCTCGTTATTCCTCTAGGAATGCATTTATTTGAAAAAAAAATAATAGAAATTCTTCTAAGAATACATCTCTTGACTGTCCAGCTTCTGCATTTATTTGAAAATTTGGATTGTTCTTCCAATATGATGCTAGCATCCTAATGACTCTGCATTCTAACCTATTTATCTGCATACCCTCTTGCAATTCTAAAACATGTCATTTGGCAAACTGAATGTGCTCATTATAAGTTCTGTTTTTAAATCCTTAGACAAGAACTAGTTAAATAGTAGCTCTTCGAATTATAAATCTTCATGGACAAAAAACAAACAGCGGGTTTTGGAAAATGTTAGTTTGTTCCTGATAGACTTGAAGGCTTCGAACATTTAAATAGATCTATTGTTGAGGACCTAGCAATCATTAACCTCTTTTGATTCTGGTAGATTTATGGATTTTTTTCTATTTTGTAAATGTTTAGGATCTTAAACATCTTACTATTGGTTTGTGTTATTGAAAATAACTTAAATGCTATATTATTTTTCAGGCAATTTTGGGTGGAACGATTCAGGTCCCAACTCTTACCGGAGATGTTGTTCTTAAGGTTTGTGTTGCTTTTGTACATAATTTCTCATGGCATATTGGTTTTGGTAACTGATGATGCTTGATGATGGGTCGTGATTGGCAGGTTCGTCCTGGCACCCAACCTGGTCAAAAGGTGGTTTTGAAAAAGAAAGGTAAGTTATATGATGTCGTATATTGATAATTTGGGAGTATTTTACCAGACAGCATTGTGTGAAAGTATATTTTAAATTCCATGAACCTGTTCGGTGGATTTTTCAAGTGTTCAGTTTAAGGTGATTTTTTCATCGTTACCAAGTTGTTTGTTCTCTTAACAGGGATCAAGGCAAAAAATTCTTATACACTTGGGGATCAATACGTTCATTTTAACGTCAGCATTCCTAAGTGAGTGTTATATTTAATGTTGAATGTTGTTTATGAACTAATGTGTACATGCTGGAAATTCCATTTGGAAACAGCTCCAAACCCTGATTTGTGTTAAAAGTTAGTCTCTTCAACTTTGTCCAAATCATGATTTGGAGGCTTCAAATGGGAATAAACGCCTCTTGCTCACCCCACAAACAAAAATAGTGTAGGATCAGGTTGTTTGGGAAAAGATTTTTCTTTGTGATGGGTCTGATAGATGTCTATAATATAATTGATCTCTTTTTGTGTGATGCTCTGCAGCAACCTGACAGAGAGACAGCGTGAATTGATTGAAGAGTTTGCCAAGGAAGAGCAAGGGGATTTTGATAAACAGAGAGCTGCATCTGCTTCTGGTTGAAAGGATTGCAAGATTTGTCAAGTCATGCTCAACTAGGCGGGTTTTGAAGTTTTGTAGGATTAAGGACTGCTAATTTTGTTTGTCTCTTCCACTTTTTTGATATGTAATATTTCTCATCGAAGTGATGACAAAATTCAAAATTTTAAATTTAGAAGGCAGTCCCCTGTGCTCCTGTAGGCTAGTATTCTTGTCAGTGTTGTATATATAAAAATCACTCAACGTGATTGTTTTACCTACTATCATCACATCACATAGAGGAACCTTAATAATTGGGCCATGGCTAAACTATAACATTTTCTTCACAGTATTAAACAATACATATTCATTTGTCCTTGGATCAGTTGCTATTGTTTCCTTATAATGATAGTGATGATTAAAAAAATGTGATTTCAGATTTAAGAGGTTTACAATGGCAGCGTACTGTAAGTTATCGAATTTAACATTGTCTTTCTTCCTTTAAATGCTTTGGTGAATTTGTTACTTTTTTCGTAGACCAGTTTACTTTGGTTTCGAAATCAATTTCACATTAGAATAGAGGCATATTCTTGAACCTCCATATATTTCTTCCTCCACCCCCCATAAATTTGTTCTCCAGACTATGTAATTGGGAATGTAAATTTTGTAATTTGTTTTTTTTTATTCCTAGAATATAATTTTGTACTTATTCGGAATAAAAAAATACATTTTTGATTGTATAATTTAAAATTTATTTGTATTTTTATTCTATGATTTGAAATACAAAAAGTTTATGGTGTTGCAGATCAAAATTATGGAAGTGTGCATAAAGGAATGGCTTAATATATAATTCATGAATTACGGATTTATAAGAAAAAAAGTCTGACTTTAAACCAACTAATGCTGTTTGTATTTCAAGGTGTTCTTATATTTAATATAGAAGTTGCAGATATGTTTGTTCATAAAAGTTTTATTTATTTAATTTTCTTAATAAGAAAAAAGTTATATTTATTTGGTCTTACAAAATTGTGGAAGTTTTTGAATCTTGATAACTGGGTTGAAATTACACGGATATGGATTATGGCCATGTCTGAGAAGAGTTAAGCTAAATTTTTTACGCAAATTTTTTTAAAAAATAATAATTTATGCACTTCATTTTAAATACTTTTAAAAATAACGAACATTTTCTAATAACCTAACCATACTTAGCATTGACCTGTTATTACTATTTGAAGATTGTTCTTGTATTGGTGCATATTTTGGGTGATAATTCATTTAAATTAAGAGTGACTAAAATTGCAATAACATTAAAATTGGTTTTTCTTAGAACGTTTATATTGTATTTTTAAAGAGATCGTAAATATTTTTACAAGAGACAATTCAGGTTATATTTAATAAGCTACTAGCCATAATAATGTTAGAGTAATATTTGTTAAGCTTGAACAACTGCCCTAGTGGTTTAAGTTTTATATTTAAATATAAATAAAATGAAAATTAAATTTACGAGGTAATGTCTTTTAAAAGAATAAACTTATGATGGATAAATACTAATTGAAGTGCACTTTTAGATTTTTTTTTGTCCATGATTTTGATCTCGGTTTCCAATTTTAGTGATTATATCTTAAAAAATTGAAGTTTTGGTTAATATAGTGTGTGTTTGTGTATATATATTGCAATATTTTTATGACATCTTAAAAATAATGTATTTTTGTTAATTTAGTGTGTGTATTTAGTTCACTTAAACATAAACATGTGACTATCAAGAAATTATTTAATTTTAAAATATGAGAGTAAAAAGTAAGTATAAAAAATTTGAAGATTAGATAAAAATTGTGCATTTTTAAAATTTGGAACTGAATTTGTGAAAAAGAATGCAAAATCATGGTTAAAAAAGGAAGTAAAGTTGCAATTTAGCCATGATAAATTGAACATTAATTAAATATGAACAAAACCAGGTAGCATTTTTTTTGTAGTTGTAAAAAAAATTGCAAAGTTCAGTAATAGAATATTCATAAAAGTATTTTCATGAAAAAAAAAAACAGGACTATTTATTTATTTTTATTTCATTTTCATAATAAATTATTTTTATATTTTTTTTCATCTTTTTACAGTAGTGAAGAAAATAAGCCTTTTTTAAAAAAAATTAAAAATTATTCCTTATTTTATCTTTAATTCAAATTTCATTATTTTCTTTTAATCACTTATTTTTTTATTATAATCTTGAATAATTATAAAAAAGAACAATAGGTTAAACTAATCTATTAATCTCATAGAACATTATTATAAGAAAACACTCATAAATTTCTTCTAAAAATAAAAACCCTTATTTCTAATAACATTCCATTCTAACATTGAACTTGATTTTATCACATGCTTTCACCTGCATAAAAAGATGATGAAAATTAATCTTCTTTCACTTCCAAAACATTCATACAAAACAACATAAACCACTTCATAACCATTATTTTCCTTTTCCTCAACTTTATTACATAATAAAAATGTTACAAATGTATTACGTAATGTATTGTTCAATACAATATTAAGAGTTTATATTTTAACAAATTTCTCGACAAATATTTCTAGTATAGAAAAATAAGAAAAAAAATATGATGAATTTCTTTATAAAATAATTAACTGTGAATTTGTAAGACTTCATTCATATAACTTCTCTAAATTCTTGTTTTCATTTTTCATATAAACTTTGTGAAAAAATATTTTATTTTATTTTTTGTTTTGAGAAGTACTTCTAGGTAAATTTGTGACATGAATAAAGTTTATTGAAATCAGATTTAGCACTGTTTAAAAAAAATTTATTAACCAATAAGCCGGATTGTTAAAACTTTTTTTAAATTTTTTTCTTTTTAAATTTTTGTTTCAATCTTTTCTAGATAAAAGATAAAGAAACATAATATAAACAAATATTTTGGATATACCTTACAAATTCAACTGTTTTTTAATTATGGACAACAAAAATATAGTAATACACTCTAATTCCTCTTATCATTTATTTAAAATAACTCTAGAAAATTAAAATAAATTATTTTATTTCAAAACTATATTTAAATGTAAAATAATATTGTAGATTAAAAGATAACAAACATAAAATTATGAATGACCTTCTGAATGTGGGAGGGACTAGAGATTCCAAAAATCAGCCATTACTGTTATATTCAAGAAATTATTACATGATTCTAATTAAACATTAGTCTTATTAAATCTTCATGAAACACATAACACCATCATTTATTTAAATTTTAAGAGTATTTGAAACCAGAATCAAAAAGATTATAGAAATTCAATGTCCAAGTTTATAGTATAAGCATTGAAAGAGAGAGAAGAAAGGTTACATGGTTGAAAGTTTGTGGTGCACTTGTTTGGGAGCTGTGAGGCCATGTTACGGTCTACCCCAGAAATTGGAGGGCCATTGACAAGGACACACAAACAAGGTTGGCCCAGTGCCCTAAGGGCATTGCAACATGCACCACTTGGTGGAATGGAGCTAAAAGGAGCAACTGCTGCCCTACAAGGAATCAGCTGCACAAGAGAAGAGAAGAATGTGCTTGTGCATGAACTGCTTTCAACTTGTGCCACTAAACCTACCATCATCATCACCAATGTCACTGCTCTCATGTAACTACAAAACTTCATCTTTGATTTCTTGCTGTTCAGAATATTTCTCAGGGTTTGGATTTATTTATACATATGATTTATTCTCATGTCATGCATGATACCTGTTCTAACTAAGTCTCATTCTAATCATGCTTACCACAGAGAGAGATCCTCATCAATGTGATTGTGCTGAATGCTAACGGTTAGAAGATTGGAATCATGTGATTTCTTCCAAGAAAATTTGTAAAATTGCTTCTGCATGTACATACATTATTTCAAGAATGTGAGGATAAGTATGTGTTTAAGAATGAATCAATATATTTTTTCGATCTGTCATGTATTTTATTATATGTTGCATGAATATTGATCCACCTGTCTGAATTAACGACTAATATATTTCTGTCTGATTTTAATCTTATACGTGTAACATGAGGAGTTGCACATAGTTAATATAAATGTCTGAGTGAACAAATTTTAAACATTAGATTTGACCATATATGAACAAGATTAAACATAAAAATCATGTTGTATTCTGTAAACTAACATGGCTTTTAAAATTAATCACATAACATTAATGCATAATTATGCAGTCTAAATTTATTCCTCTCATTAGGATAAAAAATTACTCTCACTGCACACAGTCCCTATATCTATATCTTTATCTGTCTATCTCTACCTATCAAGTTTGGATGATTCTGTTTTCTGTGATAACACATTATTGCTTTGATTCCAGCTCACAAATTTAGTAATACAAATATTTGCTCTAAAAATGCGTAGACAATTCAATAGTAAGTAAAAATTAAGCAACATAAATTTTTAAGATGTATTCAACTGCTACAAATGATGATGCTTTCTCAAAGCAGGCAATGTTGTGAACAGTTACAGTTACTTCATTGTGAGTTGTACATGGTACAGGACATACTAGATCAGTCCATGTTCTCATGAAATTGTTTGAAAAGGGTATGTTTGGTATGCCTTGGGTACTAATTAGATCCCCTCACCCAATAAAAGTGATAGTTTTCTAGTTAAAATTAGGATTTTCTCCTTTCTCTTGTTTTTTCTATTTTTCTTTTCTCCTTACTATTCTATCAAATCCATTGTGATCCTACTTGTTAGTTATATGTTTGTTAATATAAATGTTTGCAGAACAATCTACTTATGTTTTTTTTTTTATGTTTGAGTCATACAATCACACATGTCAAGATTCAAAGTTAGTCATCACATGAACACTAAAAGTCATGAGTATTTTTTTCAATCTTGGTGAGTGCAGATTTATTATTATATTTCTCATAAAAGTTTTCATTTGATACCTTCCCTGAGGAGCCTTGCCCTGCTCCCTCCCACATTATGTGTTTGTAGATTTCTGCTATGTTCACATCTGAGCTCAAGTTTAAAGTCACTTTATTCAATATTCCTGATATTTATGTGCCTTGTATCTGATGCCTTCGCTTTTAAATTCTGATACCCCATTATCATATATTCCTTCTCTGGAGAAATCTAGAAATGAGGGTAAAAAGTAGCTCTTTCAATTTTTCTTTATTGATTTGTGGTTGAATTTCTTGTCTTGATAGAGAGTGCAGAAGGGTGTGTATAGCAGAAGGTAAATTATCATCAGCTTGAAGATATGGTTTTTGCTACTTTCTTTTGCATGTGTATATAAAACTAATAATGATTGACGTTTTTCTTTAATCCAATCCAAATACAGGGCCAATTTTTTAAACTTAAAGTAAGCACTTTTAGAGCAAATACGATTTTTAAGAATCAGGGCAGA